AAAGACCTTCATCTTCTTTTCATGTCAGTTGTGCTGAATGTACCAGACCAAAGGCAGACTCCAATATATTGACACCAAGACTCCACATAAGCCACACATAGTTTTCATACGTTTATTTTTAACATAACACCCCAGTTTCACATCATGTACATTTTCCAGTTGGAGGTTCTTAACCTACTATGTTCTTCACAGACTTTCCAGCAAGTGTGAAAAGGAGGCAATAAGGTTAGCTTGAGTGCACAAGTCACAATCCAAATATAGGGTACCCTATATTTATCTACGTTTATATACATATAATGTTCCCAGAGCTTAGCAAATGAATGAGTCTCTGGCTGAGTAAAATATTAACACAACTTGTTAGCACATTATCATGAAAAGACAGAAAGCTTCAAATATATACTTTGCTGTTGCTTATTTTACCTGCAGTGAAAAAATATACATTTTTTTACTTTCCACATTAAAATAGACCATCTGCTCATTATCTCACCTGGCCCACAGCCATGAAGACTAAAATGGCTCTTCCTGCCTCTGGCTCACTTGAACATCTCATTTGTGCTGAAGACAAAAAGAACGGCAGTACTAAAGGAGTGTCCCCAGTGCCCAAGGTGGGTGCAGTTGGACTTACCCCCCCCCCCAACTTGCTTCAAAACAAAGGAGAACACAACTCAGTGGAGCCACCCTGAGTACAATGGGGTCACCGCACCAATTGCTCCATTTCCGGGGCATTCCCTGATGGAGTTGAAGGGTCTAGTACTCTTGTCCAACAGAGTGGTTCAGAACAACTGGCACATAACATTTTCTTATGAAAACCACCCCACTCCAAGTCAAGTCCAGACTCCCTTTCTATAAGCCCCCATGCCCATGAACTTAGCTTAGAGCAAGACAAGACAGCTCACCACACATACATACACACGCACACACGCACGCACGCACATACACAAAACACTCCCCAATTGTCAAGGGCAGAGCAAGGCTTCTGTAAATAGGACAAATTCTCTCAATGAAAACCCTATGATAAGATACTCTTTAGAAAATGTTCCTTTATCATCATTTATGTTATAAAACATAAAAAATAACTATGCAAGCCCAAAGTAACTCTGAACTTTGGATAATGTGCTTATACTAACACTGGCTCTCTCAAGGAACAACTGTAAGGCAACCTCTGAAAGCCTACTTTGGAGGGAGGGAAGCAGCTCTTAAAATCTGCTTGTGTTGCTTCACAGCCTGGTTTTCAATCTGCTATTCTTATGATTCCTCTTGCGAGGTTCACTTAACTAGATGCACATCTTCTTATAAACAAGTGAAGTGGGTGGCTCAGAAGGTAAGACATGCAAATTTCTATCAGTGATGGATCTGTTGGCATCAGTGGGAAGTCTCCCTTAGCTAAGGGAGACTTCCCACTGATGCCAACAGCAGCAAGATATGCCAACTCACAACTCCAAAAGTCCAAATCTCCACTACTTACTAGAACTTGAACCACACTGATGTAAAAAATAAATTTGACAAAACACCCATAACTTAAGGGTAAATAAAGTCAAGGTATTCCTGGAAATTGGAGTTTTTGAAAAGCACATTTGAAACAGAGTAAACCAATTAGAAAGAGAAACCTAAGCTATGGTGTCTAACTACAGGAGAAAAATATCTTACAAGTAACACTTTATTTTTTTTCACATTCATAATATTTAAACTATGACCAGAAGATGCCTACTTACCAGTAATATGCAAAGATGTGGTTATTGTGTTATTTGAAATATTCTTTTATATATTTAAAAAGCATGTTGTCTTAGTGATATCTAGTCAGAAGGGGCTATTCTAGTTTGTGTGAAACAAATGCTTTGTAGCTCTAGGTGTGAGATACTCTAATTGAGATACCCGACTATTGCTTCAGGTGAAGATATTGGCAATACCTACTCTAACTGCAAGAAATACATACATTCTAGATTACTTTGCTATTGGTCTCCTTCCAGGAAAGAGAGAGTATCATTTAGAAAGAGGCTATAGAATCAAGTCACATATGTAGAGAAGAATGCTTTATGATAGTCCAGACACTAGTAGGAAATCAAAGGAAAAATCATGGTTTTGATTACATTCCCTAAAATATGCTGAAATTGAACATTTGTGACCCAAGAAACCAAAGAAAACTATAACTTACTGCATATTGAGTTCATTTCAATCACAGTAGTCTATTTTAAAAACAAACTCCCATAAGGAATACAGGAATGGAATCCATTCAAAGCAACAGCTGTCAAAAGTTCTGCCAAGAAACTCAGGGTAATTTATTGTATCATGAAAGGTGAGGTGTTCAGAAGAACAAATAGTTCGATCGTATTCTTTCCCTTCAGATTTTATTTTTGCTTTAATCCAAGAGAAACACCTAAATCTAAAATTCATTAAAACCAGTTTTCATGGTTCAAGATTAATAGAGTCAATAAAATTCAGCGTGGTCAACAGAAGAAAGCCTCTGGAATTGTTTTCAGTATTGTTCGAGGCTAAGGATTTAACTAAGATCTGGGCTAGTATTCCAACTCTGGCTTTAGCTATCTCTTTCATGGAAACCTGAGCCAGGAACTGCACTTCTGGGGGTCCACATACAAAGTGCAGAAGATGAGCTGGAAGGCCTCTCTGACATCATTTCCAATGATAGCAAAACAGGCACAACTTCTAGCTAAGCTGTCTCCTCTCCCAATCATGCTAAAGTACTTCTCTGATATTTATAAAATAGTTAGGTCCTGAACAGAGCAAATATCTGTCTTGATCACAACATAAACACACACACACACACACACACACACACACACACACACACACACCTCCATTCCACATATCTACCATTCTGTTTTGTGTCAAAGGATCTAGAGGAGGGAGCAAAAGCAACTAACTCCACATCCAAAGGACACGGAGGGACCCAAAAGGCTTGCTGTCAACACTTGTGCTTTCATCCTTAGGACTACAGGATCCTAGTGAAGACCACTTAACAGCAACATCTGAAATAGGAACCCAGTTCAGAAAATTTCCTTCTGTTCCCAGATCTCAGAACATGGGAAAAGAGGCGACTTAAAAATTCTGCAATGGACCACAACACCCAAAAGGAGAGAGAGAACACAGGGGATTGCCCTGCCACAGAGACAGGGGGGATGGGGGGATGGGGGTGGGAGGGATATTATCCATGGTGGTGGAAAATGGGCACTGGTGGAGGGATGGGTATCTGATCATTGTATAATTGAAACCAAAGCACAAAAAATTGTAAATCTACAACTTTAAAAAAATAAAATAAAATAAAATAAAGGGAAAAAAAATTCTGCAATGACCCATTCATGATATTGGGAAGAGTTTAAACTTACTCAAAATCTTTCCCACAGACAAAAAAGTAGCTAAGAGGAAATGATAAGGGAAAAACGTCACCTTTTCCTGGTTTTTCACAAAATCAGATCAATTCAAAAAAGCCTTTACGATGCATAGAATAAGACTCAACAATTCATTTTTCCTTGAAAAACACCATCTGTTTGAGTCTTTCTTTTCTGCCATTAGGCTATGGATAAAACTTGCCAATGCAAAAAGGAAACATTAGATAACCACTTTTTCTAAAAGTTGTCAACTCTATTGAAATCAGTCTTAATCCCACAAACTGCAAACCTATCTTCTATCACTGTACAGAAAACCCTGGGAACACACCCTAGCCCTCCTTCCTAGGAATGGCTAAATTAGCAAAATGTCTGAGAGCTTTGCTATCTGGCTCTCAAAAGGATGTCAAAGTTGCTATACCTGAACCCTGTGGGGGTTGGTCAATTCCCATTTTCAACTGGAGCTCTCAGGAGAAGCAATAGCTACCAAGAATTCAAGCTTACTGTTTTATATCACTTACACTGGAGTCAGTTGGGCTCCTCCGGAATGCATATAAACCAATCATTTCCCCCAGGGCACACTTCACAGAGAACAAAATAGTCATATATCCAGTGTGAGGATTGATTTCTTTCATCATTTCTTCATACTCAATATACTTTTAACCAGGTTAAAACAACAAAGACAAAAATAACAACCTAAGGTGGCTGAATTGATGTTGATAATAACCATTATCCCTTCTCTTGTTTGAATACCTGGGTTTAAACAACAAAGTATTTCTCAACCCAAACAGTGTCATCAGCCTTTCATATTTGATCGGTGGTTTCCAAATGCATGCATCTACACAGATCCCATGCAGGAGAAAAGTAGAGCTCTGACAACTATTTATTTAATTTGATTGGGCAAGGCAGTTAAAACAGATCGCTGTTGCCCTAAAATTTACTGAAAGGACTGAGTTGTTTGAGTAGATGACCAAGCCAAGTTAAACAGATCACTGACAAAACTTCTACTTAACAGAGGTGGAAAGACCCATAAGTCTCTGACACTCGATAGGTGACAATAGCCATGTATTATTTATAGCTAAATATAATACCAAAATGGCACTAGACAAGCGATTTTTGGCATATAGTAGGGGAGGGCACAATGTCAGTCTGAATCTGACGCTTTTGTTTTATTTTAGTTTTAATTTTCATCATGCCAAAGACTATCCAGCTGGAATCCCAATTACTCCGTATACTATACGAAGTGTAGAGTATACTTTATAATTATTCATCCAACTATATATGATATTATGATATATACAAAAATAAAACAGGCACCTAGAAGGTACTGGGCTATACGGTTTTGTATAAATCATAAATTCTTTAAATAAATAATGCTCTAAGTATTATTTGCTAGAAGATTGATTTTTGGTAAGGAGCAACATCTAACACCTTGAGGAAGTACTTAAGAACAGGAGATAAATTCCACTGATAGTTACGATTTCAACTGTGAAAATCAATTGTACTTTTTCCACCACAGTAAAATGCACAAGTGAAATATAAGAACAAGAGAAAAGGTGATACGGAATATATTCCACACTCAGGTTTTTGTTTGTTTGTTTGTTTGTTTGTTTGACAGCACTGGGGATGGAACCCAGCATCAGAAAAGACATGTGTTAAATCTCTGGGTTATAGCCCCAGCCCTGTTTATGATACAGCCAACAACTATGACAAGTACTCAGGTAGGTTGGAACAATCAAATGAAAGATCTTGGCAGAAAATATCACAGACTGTTACTTGAATCTTACAGGTCACAGCACAGTGACTGGACGGAGTTGTTCCAATTGGTTTTCCAAAGCAACGCGCTCTTGATGAACTTCCTACATTGTACAAAACAGAAGAAAAACAAAGCAAGGGGTCATTCAATGGATTCATCCCTACATCATCAAATATTAAAAAAGAACTTTTACCACTGGACCCCTAGTTAGGTATCCTATGATTCAAGGTCAAGCGAACAAGAAAGCAAATTGAAAGCTGGTAACTAGGAGGTGAAGAGACAGTACAGTGGGTAAGGCACTTCCTTGTACAGGAACAACCTCAGTTCAATCCCTGGCACTGCACGTAGTCCCTGGAGAACCTCTAGAAGTGATCCCTGAGCACTGAGCCAGGAGTAAGTCCTGAGTACCGCTGGGTATACTCCCAATACCACCCCTCAAAAACATAAGGACTAGATAAAAGATAATTCACAATTCTAATCCCTCAAATCCTTTCTGAAGATGATGAAATGCAACTGACTGACATAACCTCTGATTTTCTCCCAACACCTTAACACCAGCCTTATTTTTAATAAGATCAGTGACGATAGAGAATGACATTTAAACAAATCAAAAGGCTGACCCTGATCCATAGCACCACATATGGTCCTCTAGCACTGCCAAGAGTGACCTCTGAGCACAGAGCCAGGAGTAAGTCCTGAGCACTGCTATGTATGACCTCCAAACCAAAGTGAAATCAAATATTAAAAATTGAAAAAGGTGGCCTGCCTACTTTTGAGCATTATGGTTTGCAGTGCAGATACTGAGAGGCAATTGTCTGCCATGAAGGCAGTGGGAGGGTGGGGAAAATGGGGGTATACTGGGGATACTGGTGGTGGGGAATGTGCACTGGTGGAGGGATGGGTGTTTGATCACTGTGTGACTGTAACTCAAACATGAAAGCTTATAACTGTATCTCATGGTGAATCAATAAAATAAAAATAAGAAGAATAAATAATTTTTAAAAAGAAAGAAAAAGGTGACCTAGAGGGAGAATAAAAAGAGTATCAGGTTCCTAAATAGTAGGAGGTGAGCCATCAGGACTAAATTTCTAGCTGCAGCCTCTCACCTCTAATCTAGTACCATACTTAGTCAGGTACAAGAGATGAAAAAAACTGTCCCTCTACCAACATTTCATCTAGGCCCTTGCATAAATTAGAGCTTAAGGTGTGACTTCTCTACCATGTAAAGAGAGGATTATAATAGAGCAAGAGTAAAAGAAAGACACAACTGGGTGGTTACAGTATGGACCAAGGCAAGAAAGGAAAGTGGCTTCAGGGTAGCAGCTATAGTTATTATTCCCATTATTACTGTGGGATATATGTGGATGGATTCTGGATACATTTTGAGTCTCAAACCAATTGGACATGCTGACAAAGGTATCAGAAGGATACCTTTGCTGAAGCATGTTTATGTCTGGGTGGGAATTATCCAGTAGAGACTTGGGAGATGTAGCGAGCAGAACTGTGTACTCTGAGAAGACAAAGTGTAGTCTCAATCCCTATGAATGTGAATTGCTGTGGAAACAGAATCTTTGTAGATGTAATCTAGTTAAAAAGAGACACTGGTTCCTACGGGTGAGCACTAGTGCAAAGACTGGTGTCTTTATAAAAGAAAGAGAGACATTTGGACCCAAACACAAAGACACAGCTGACACTGGATACACAAATGGAAGATATGCATCTCTAAGTCAAGAAAAGCCTGGGAGCGGGGCAGAGAGATGGTACAGCACACAGGATGCTTACCATGCACTCAGCTGACCCGGGTCTGATTCCCGGACCACACACGATCCCCTGAGCCCTGCCAGGAGCAAGCATCTGAGCCCAGAAATGGGAGTGGCATGCCCCCTCCTCCCAAAATAGAACAAAAGAAACACCAGAAATTTCCAGCAACTACCAGAAGCTGAGAAGAAGGAAGGAAAAAAGGGGAGTCCCTGAAAATTCTCAGAGAGAGAACATAGCTCTGCTGACACCTTGATTTCAGACTCGGAGATCTCAAGACTGGAAAGATAAATGCCTGCCATTCTGCAGTTCTTTGTTAGAGCAAGTATAGGTGAGATTAGTGGTGAGGAGAAGCAGCTGATAAGTAGGGAAGCGATGTCCTGGAGAAGGTAACATAGAACCATTGGCGAGGAACAAAGGGGCTGCCTTGATAGTACCTGCACTACCTTCTTTCACTGAGTATGTCTAACATCACTCATTAAGGACCCAAGAAAACTACGGGTTTATCTAGAAGCTCTACACAGATGCTCCAAGCAACCTTTTTAATACATTTCCTAGCCTTCTACCTAACACATCAAATGCAGCCTCCAGATGTGGTTACAAAGATTCCTCTAAGCCCTTCACAGCTAATTCATGGAGCTTCCCAAATGCAGAAATTCTCTGCCTTCCAAAGGAGTCTGAGAGCAAAGCTCAGGTCTAACCATCAAGAATGGAACCATATTCTTATGTAATATCGTCAAAACAAACCACCACCAGTGAAGGGCTGCAAATCTAGTTGAGTGGGAATGGCTTGCATATATGAGGCACTGGGTTCATCCTCTGCCCCCCAAAACACATCAGAGGGTGCAGCTCAGTGGTAAAATGCATGTCTTGTATGCGTGAAACCTGGGTTTGATTCATAGCATGGCAGAAAACAAAAACCAAAATCAATTAAAAAAAATATCAATTCAGGGGCTGGAACAATAGCACAGCGGGTAGGGTGTTTGCCTTGCACGCAGCAGACCCGGGTTCGATTCCCAGCATCCCATATGGTCCCCTGAGCACCGCCAGGAGTAATTCCTGAGTGCAGAGCCAGGAGGAACCCCTGTGCATTGCCAGGTATGACCCAAAAAGAAAAAAATATATATCAATTCAGTGGCATTCGTTGGGCCAGAGGTAAGGCACTTGCCATGCACTTGGCTGAGCCCAGTTTGATCCATGGCACTCAAGCACCACCACGAGTCATCCCTCAGCAAGGACCCAAGTGAGCACTGTCAGATGCAAACCCCAAATCCATCTTCCCCCGCGCCCAAAATCAAACCACCCGAAGACCAGGCCATGAAAGGGCTGACCATCCGAACTCCCAAAGTTGCTTACCTTGAGCTGCTGCTGCAGTTCACTGTTGAGTCGCGTGAGCACGGCATTGGCCTCTTTGTTTTTGCGAATAGCCGTCTGAATGGCCTTCTTCTGCTTGGAGGACTGCCTGCAGGAAAGCAGGGAGGGGCAGTTCAGGGACACAGTGGAAAGGTCTGGCCCCAGGCAGCTCGGGATGCTATGATTCAGGGGAGACTAGAGGCTGACGGGCCCCTCACATTACCAGGCTCCCAGAGTAACACTGATTCACAGCCAGGTGGGTGGCACAGGAAAAATCTCCGTCAGTTGTATTAGTTCACACCTAAAGTAATTCCCATGTTACAGCACACACACACACAAAAAAAAGCCAAGCATCGGGCCTTTTCAGATTCCTTGCATTCCATTTATTTCAAGACATTTAAGTATTTCTTCCTAGAACTATCTGAACCATATGCGATTTTTTTTTTTGGAAGCACTGATGGTATGCAGGTGGCCCCCGTAGACAAACTGAAGGAAAAGGAGAGATTCTACATTCCCTTTAGCAAAACTCCTTTATTAACGTCACTGTCACTGTCACTGTCCTCCCGTTGTTCATCGATTTGCTCGAGTGGGCCCAGTAATGTCTTCATTTTGAGACTTGTTGTTACTATGTTTGGCATATCCAATACGTCATGGGTAGCTTGCAAGGCTTTGCCGTGCAGGTGAGATACTCTCGGTAGCTTGCCGGGCTCTCTGAGAGGAGCAGAGGAATCGAACTTGGGTTGGCTGGGTCAGCCATGTACAGGCAAATGCCCTCCCCGCTGTGCTATCGCTCCAGCCCCTATATTAGCATAGCCAGCCGAAAGTACCAACCTTCCTTCCCAGGAATGACTGTGTGCGCACTGTGTGAATTCACAGTGACTATGCCACACACACAACTGTGGCACTTGAGGGAAACCACAGAAAGAGTTTAACACCAGGATTCCCAAATTAAGTCAGTAAATCCACAGAAAATGTGAAACTAATGTGACCATCGAAATGATTTTGCCCAGGACAGTCTCCATTACTGTCTAGTACTTATGATTAGCACCCTCTCCCCAAACTGTCCAGATTGGGCCAACAACTCAGTATGGTTCTATGACGTACAATCTAAAACCTGTAACAATACTGAATGCTGAAGGACATCTTTCATTTCTTTCTTTTTTTTTAAATGTAGGAGTACTGCTATTCATTTAGCCCTTGATTAAGCTGATTGAATTGGGCATGAACTCCACATCTTTCATTTCTTGAGCAAACAAACATTTGAAATCACTGGGAGATGAATTCTAGAACATAGGGAATGAAATGAAATGGGACATCTGTAGGGATCTGATCAAGAGTCACTGCGGATATACACTCTGTTAGCCACTCCACTAATCTGTAGAAGATACACGCCCTTCAACAAGTTTAAAGATTAATGTTTCACCCATATATGTAGGGGAGCAACTTCAAAATCAACTTTAAGAAAATATGGAGGGATAGGGCTCAAGTGGGAGAACAAATACCTAGCATGCCAAGTCCCTGAGTTCAATCCCTGGCACTTTATGGTTTCTGGAGAAATACCAGTTAATGCTCCAGTTACATGCATATGCAGGTACACATAGGGATTACAAGACAAGATGGAGTAGACCCACTAAGTACAGTTAAAATCCAGAACTGGGACCAGAGTCCCTAGGTTAAGGTGCTTGCCTTGCATGTGGTCAACCCTGGATTGATCCCCAGAACCACATATGGTCCCTTAAAATACCATCAGGAGTGATCCCTCATCAGAGAACTAGAAGAAAGTCCTGAGCACTGAGGGTGTAGTTCCCAACCCCACTACCCCTGTTGCTTCTGCCAATTAAAATAAAGTCCAGGACTTTATAAACATAAGATAATTCCCAAAAGTGGAATAAAGACAAGCTAGGAAAGTTAAGTACACAGATAAACACAAAGTGGTAAATTGCCTGAGTTATTTCTCCTTCACAGTAAACACTATATTAATATGAGACCATGAGGACACACTCAAATTTTAGGTTCTCAGAAGACAACCTTGCAAGCAAAGTTGAAGCCCTTGTTACTTCTATTTTGGTGTTTGGGCCACACCTGGCAGTGCTCAGGGATTATTCCTGCACTCAAGAACCACTGCTGGCAAGGGCCCAGGGGACCATATGTGATGCCCAATCCACTGTTCGATCACTCCAGCCCAAAGCCTTCCTAAGTGAATTTTCTATTTTGCTTCATATATTCCTGACAGGATATTGGAGACGTTGGCAATCAATGAGTGGCAATGAGTGCAGACTTTCCTCCAACCAAAAATAAACCTCCCCACAAAAACCCTACTCTCTCTCTCTCTCTCTCTCTCTCTAGCCAAAGGACTTGGAGAGCAAAAGCCTTAGCAAGACACAACATCCCTCGTGGAAAATCTTTAACAGTTATTTTGGAAAAAAATATATATATAATTCAGCAATATATGAAAATCAATATATAATATAATTTATATAGATAAAATAAATCCATGTAAAATTCAGCAATATATGAAATGTATATATCATAAGCAAATGTAATTTACTCTAGGAATAAAAAACTGACCCAGGGGCTGGAGTGATAGCACAGTGGGTAGGGCGTTTGCCTTGCATGCGGCCAACCCGGGTTTGATTCCCAGCATCCCATATGGTCCCCTGAGTACTGCCAGGAGTAAGGAGTGCAGAGCCAGGAGTAACCCCTGTGCATTGTCGGGTGTGACTCAAAAAGAAAAAAAAAAAACGTGATCCGGGGTGGGGGTGGTGGGAGGGATACTGGGACCATTGGTGGTGGAGAATGGGTACTGGTGAAGGGATGGGTACTTGATCATTGTATGACTAAAATGTAAAAACAAAAGTTCGTAAGTCTGTAAAAATAATAATAATAATAAAATCTAAGTTGATTAAAAAAACCTGATCCAGTATTCAAAAACAATCAATGAAATCTACCACCTTAGCAAGTGAAATGAGAAAAAGCATGTGAGTGTATCAATTGATGTAAAAATAAAGCATCTAATAAAATTCAACTCCATTTATTCTTTTTTAAAAAAATAATTATGGGAGGTCACGAGTTGCCCCCGACGAGCGGCTCTCCAACATGGCCATGGCTCCAGAGGCACAAGGACTTAATGCAGAGCCCGACACTTGCAGCAGAAAAGTGAATGGACTATGCGTTAATCCACGGTACCATGCCTCCCTGAGAGGGAAAGGGTGTTGTTCCCTTCTGCCTCCCCCCCCCCCCCCCCGGAGCAAGGTGGCCATCACCTCAGAGCTTATTGGAAAGCCAGGTATGAGCCGGCAATGACGGGGCAACTGCAACCTCATGGGAAGTGGGGTGTTACCGGCTCATCCTTCATGTTCATGCCCTACCGAGGTCACGAGTTGCCCCCCCCACCCCGAGCGGCTGTCCGGCACGGTCATGACTTCAGAGCCAGAGAAACCAATCTCGTAATTATCTGGCTGTTGGCAGAAATCCCTCCAGACTTAATAAGTAAAATATAAGAAATCCAAAATCGCGCGGCCACTATTGCAGCCGTGCTACATCATATGGTTCTCATAACCAGCTATAGAAAACAAATTATTTCACAATGCCTTTTCAGCAGTTCTGATTGTTGGGTGGAAACTCTAAACAATAATGGTGCATTTTTTGTCGAAATAATGAATGTAATCAAAGTAGATAGAGAGTTAAGTAGAAATCATCTGCCTCACAGGCATTGGGATGGGTGGGAGGGGGGTATATTGGGGTTCTTGGTGGTGAAAAATAAGTACTGGTTAAGGGAAAGGTGTTTGATCATTGTATCACCGAGACTTAAACCTGAAAGCTTTGTAACTTTTTCCACAGTGATTCAATAAATATTAATAATAATAATAATAATAATAATTATGACTGTATGTAAACCTCTTCAACTTAATAAAGAGATTCTACCAGAAAAAGAATGGAAAACACCTAACATCATACTTAACAAAAAACTGAATGCCTTCCTAAGTTTGGACAAGGCAAGAATTTCTACTCTCAGCAGTATTTCAACACAGTACTAGAAGCCCTAGCCAACACACTAATGCAAGAAAAGGAAATTAAAGGCACACATAATGGGAACAAAGAAATTAAATGGTACCTATTTGCAGGTAACTTGATAGTCATTGTAGAAAATCTCAAGAAAACTATTTTTAAAAACTCCTAGAGGGGCCCAGAAATGACTCAGTGACTTAGATGCCATGACCTTAATTATTGGTGCCACCAATATGCAGAGAGATCCTGACAGACCTCAGGGAGAAGAAAGATACTCCTAAAACTAATGACATTTCAGTAAAGACACAAGGGAGTTTTTGGAATAAATAGCATACAAAAAGCAATCATCATTAGATAAGCTAACAATAAACATTTGAAAATCAAAATTTTAAAAATGGCATCATGTACAAAAACTCAAAATTAAGTCCTCAGATATAGTAAGACCTATACATAACTCACATACTGAAAACTACACAACACTAAGAAAGTCAAAATAGAATCAATGTAAATAGAGAAACATATTCATGGATTGAAGAGACTCAATAAAGATGCAAATAAAGACTGACATAGAGGTACATTGTATAGTTTATACAACTTCTATCAATATTCTAGCAAGGTTTTTGTAACTCGAGACAGAAATATTCTAAAATTTACATATAGAAAGCCAAGGCAATTTAAATAGTTAAAAAGAATTTTTTAAAAACAGTAATAAAGTGGGAGAAATATAAGGTTCACTATGTAACTATATTATTGTGACTGAGGGCGAAGACAAAAAATAAGACTGGCAAAGGAAAAAAATACATATATCGATGAAACAGAACAGAGGACCCCAAAATAAATTCAAACAAATACGGTTAATGGAAAAAGGACAGCCTTTTTGATAAACAATGCTAAAGCCATTCAGTCTTACAGGAAAAAAAAAGTAGACCTGGATGCAAATTTCACCTCTTTTATAAAAATCACACAAGACAGTCACAAATGTAAATAAAAAAACTTTAGAAGAAAATTTAAGGGAAAGTCTTCAAGCCCTAGGCTTGGTGAAAAGTTTTTAGATGTAACCCCAAAAGCATAAGACTCAAAAGAAAAAGATAGCCATACACT